CTTACCTAAACACAGCTTCTTTCAAATAAACTATATGGCAATTATAGATTCACTTTATATGCAAGATTATTTAAAAGGCTGACATTATACACATTTCTGGTCATATATCAGCGGCCGGTCAAACTTACCAACTTTCCCAGATGGCCAGTGATCACCAATTTCTTCACAGGTGCCCACAAGTAATCTCAAACGATTATTTAACTGCTTTGAAAGACAAACGACCTTTAGTTAAAACTTTCAAGATCTATAGCCACCTTGCCCAAGAATCAATTCAGCGACCTCTTGGCTACAAATTCGTTTCTTTAGACGGGGGACTTTTTACAAGTGTAATTGTTTTTATAAGTTTATTGTCATTAATTTACGCTTTGCTGAGAGTGGTGCATGTGCCTTGTGGTTCAGGTGTCTGCCTCCTATCCAATGGATCGCGGGCTTTAGTCCTTCTTGGATCGCGATTACGTTCTCAATACTATGAAACTAGTTCTGATGTGTAACAGAAACTGGACTTGAGCGTGGTTCAATTAGGGTTAAAATTTAAAATGTACAAAAGATAGGATATTGTCTATGACATCGTTCACTAAATGGTAAGACTTCACAAGAGTTGAAATGTGCGTGTATTGACAAAATCAGTTCTGTGGCTTGAAACCACACTTTATTTGCATTTTAGTTGTTCTCTTCACAAAACTCACTAATTATATATGCACACAAACTAATGAAGAAACAAAACACAATTCGAAAAAAAATCATCTACTCTCGATTCATCTACATTCATACTTATGGGCGTTGTAAGTAAATTAAGGACACATTATGTACTTAATTGCCTAGTTTAGGAACAAAACAATTTTTCAACAAAGATGTATATGACGCCGCCCTTCCTTGTTGATCTTGCTTTTCATGTTTTTTAAGATAAAAATGGCTAAAAAGACAGATTGTTTAATGACATGTCAGTTAAATTTATGACGTTAAGTAGATGATATCTTAGTATCTATATTTTCGTTCGGTTTTGTTTTGCAAAGTTTCATAAAAGATAAAGAAGATAAAGATTTTACAAACCACATGGTATTGTATACAGATTGAGTTGTAAGATTATGTCAAACTTACTGAAGTAAATAAAGTTTTTTCTCTTCTCTCTCTTATTGTTACAAGATGTAAATCATAAAGATAACATAGTTAAAATTGTTTAAAACTAATTTTTAGGGGTGATATAGCGTAAACTGTAGGAAAACCTCGGTGATGATAACATTAAAGGTAAAATAAACAAATTATGCGACCGTGCCTTGTTTCGATTTACCAAAATGTGTGTGTTGAAAACAGATATTGATATATCAGTTGTAAACCTTACAATTATAAAAAAAATAATCCTAATTACCATTTTATTACACCATAAAGGTATCGAACAAAATATAAGATAATGTTACTTTTAAATTTGTGTTTTGTATTGTGACATTATTAATCCGTATGTATTTTATATATTTTAAGAGTCCCGTCATTTATTTTATCAATCATTCTTAATAATATGCAATTACATCATTTAGTAAATTGTTGATATATTTGTAAGAAAATCAATGAAAACATACTTTAGCCTTATTTATATGAAAAGCAATAATGTACAACGGGTTTGCTTGTTCGGGTTATAAACGATGGACTACAATATATTCATTTGTCTATTCAATTTTCTTAACCAATCATATTTTCTTTAAAACATCCTTCCTTGTTCCTTGTCAAAAAAGAGAGAATACTTAGCATAATTATTTACACATATAAAATTTTAAAAGTCCTCATCGCCTAGTTCAATTCGTCCGTGTCATTGATGCAAATGTCGTCTGTTTATAAATAACTTAATAACTTTACACCACACCAAGCCGTGTCAATGACGTCATCACTTGTTAAATAGTTTTGTCTAGATGTTTATTCAATGATACAGAAGAGCGATATTTAATATATATATCCTTTTATTCAATTTAAATAAAAAAACGACATGTTTGAATATCTAAATATTTATATATTGTTGGTAGACAAATACAGCTGCAAATTTCAAGTCTGAAATAGTTTCAAATGTTCTATTATAGATTGTACAGAGAAAAACTAGACTAGTATAGACCTAGGAACTTAGTTTGACTGTAGTCATCAAGTTTGACTGTTGACTTCATTATGTTTTCCTTAAAGATATTATACATCACTTGTCAAAAGCAATGCCCGTTTTCATCTTTTCTGAAAACATACAAAGATTTGATATGATTTGATTTGCAAACTGTTTATTATCACAAATATTAACAGCATTAGTTTCGCGAGAATTACTTCTATTATATAGGGTTTATAAAAGGAAAAAAAGAAAAGATTGTTTACATGTTCACAGTAGTGACAAGCGTTCCGAATGAGACATTAATAAACAATGGAAAACATTAAACTTTAACGTGTATGTCTAATAATAAACAGGTTCGTGTATAATGTGATACAATGTGACAATATTTCGGACTTGCCTGTTGCGTGGAAATATCATGGCTTAAATCAGCACCTTAGTTTCGACCATTTTCTGCAGAGGAAGGCCTCATCATATTTACAGGCTATGATATTTCCACAAAACGTTATCTACCATACCTTAGTAATCACTTTATGAGATATGATAAGTGTTTAGAGAATATATTTCATTTGTTGTGTGTTATTATATTTCATTTTTCCCCATAAAGAACATAGCATGCATTTTATCATTTAAGTTTTATTTCCTTCGTAATTTTAATTTGTGCTTATGCCTGATTAAGAACTTAACCTTTTCAGGCATTGAAATAGATCGAAAAAAATAGAATCCTAGATGAATGCCCGACACGGCAAACTTGAAAATGTTACGGTTTAATTGAGCCTGTTCATTAAAACAGGGGACCAACTTCATATGATTCAATGAAAGGTGCATCAGTTAGAAAGATATGTGGATTTCCGGTAAAACGTTTGCCATTTAAACTCTCGTGTGTAGACGTCATTTTCAATAAACGGAACGGTAAAGTTTAAAATTTGGTAGTTTCTTTGTAAATATGAACTATGATTGAAGAAATAGAAATTCAATTAACCCTTTGATAGTTACTTGAAAGATAACAATTCATATATTGCCGCCTCCGTGGTCGAGGGGTTAGAGTCGATGACTTCTAATCTAGTTACCTCTCTGGTGTAGGTTCGATCCCCGGGAGATACTTTGGTAGTTTAGCGCGGAGGAAGGTAGTCTACTAGTACTGGTGTAACTCTCCAGGAACGATGGTTTGGAAACTTCCCGCCTATATGAATGAAATTCTGTTGGGAAAAGGCGTAAAATCAAACAAACAAACAAATCATATATTGCCATTTGATGCAGCTTGGTTTTTTTGTTATGTTTTGTTTTTCTGTTTTTTTTTTTTGAGAAAATATTGTTGTCGTTGGTTCAGACTCAAAACAATATAAACAATTACAAAATTTTGACCCGTTATTATGTAAACTGTACATACAACCCATGTTCGAACCAATATTTGGCAATCAGCAGCGAATATAGATACTTATGGCTCGAATTCACATTGTGATCCATATGTGGGTGAGTGTACCATATCCAATCATAAAAACATAAAATACGCTATAAAATGAGAATCTCTATACAATTTAAAAAACAAATGCATTCAATTTTTAAGTTTACAAGCATTATAAGAAACAATATAAAATGAAAGCTTAACTTGCTAAAGATTATTTCTATTTTTTTTAATTTGTACTCTTTTTCAAAAGATGTCAGCTGTAATCTATGTTAAAAGTACTTTACGTTAAAGTTACTTTACATAACCAATGATTTCCATAGATAGATACTTTCGCAAACAATAGACGAATTATAAATACCGTGACGTGCTTTCATTTCTTTCGCTCTTTATGTGTATTTTCTGGATCAGTTTGATAATTTATTACTGATAAAAAATGTAAACAATTTTGGATGTAGTGAGGCGCTGAATCTCAATATGATTCTAACGTTGAATATGAGATATGAATGTCTGGACATACCAAAAAGCACCAATTTAGACCATGTTTTTACAAGTTTTAGGCGCCTGAATCCGCAACCACTTTTTAGATGGAAGACTCATCCTTTGCCTTCCTAGCTGCCGCGTGCGTTTTCAATCGTAACTGTTTTTAAAACCAGTGTACTCGTCAAAATACAGTCCCGAGCTGTTTAGTTCCATATCAGATATCCAATACATACACTGCATACATTTTGCTTTTACCTTGTAAGTGTTTTTTTATTCCTAATAGTTAATCTTTTATCAAAGAATTTAATGTTGGATATGGAACACATATCCGCATATGGGTCACAATATGTATTTTGATTTATTACTCTCTTTATCCGTTGCTGATTTCAAAAGAAATTATCGAATAAGTGTCTGTATATCATCATCATAGAGTATAAAGGCTTCGAGGTCATTTTCAGTCGTTTTCGTTATCCTCACGTTGAATGTTTAACACGCCTTAACCCACGAAAACACTTTTTAAAAGAAGACTGTATCTAATGATACTTCATAAGCGGGTAACTATAAAAAACATACAAGGATTGATAATAGTTTCATCATAGATAAAAGATTTAAATCTTACATTAGATATATGGGAGTTAAACTAACATATGTTTACCGGTAAACAACATATCTTTTGAACCGATGCACATTGCGGTGAACGTGTGATTTGTTCCCTGTGATTAACGGTGCTGTAAAAAATGCAGACTACTGTCAACGACCCTAGCGATGGCTTTAGAAACAAAAATGTTTGACAATAATTAAGAATAAATGCAATTTATCATTAAGTTTTATTAGCTCCGCATTATTAACTTTTCAATTAACTGTAAATTTTAAATAATCGTGCTGTTAAAAGCCAAGTAAACGTTAATAGAATTTAGATACAATATGATATCAATGCCGTTTTTTTCCTAATGTTTGAATCGATGATACCATTATTTTGAATCCTTAAAATCTTAGTATGAATTTCTTCCGTGTATTCCTCAAATAACGTCCGACACAGTTAAATAGGCAGGCTTAGTATAAGAAGACGCACATTTGCATTTCTCTTTCAAAACGACTAGTGCATTCGTTGTTGAAATATCACAAAACAAGAAGAGGGGAAGATTAAATCAAACATGGATCTTAAGATAATTATACTTGTTTCAATATTTGGAGGAAATTTTGCTCATCAGATTGACTGTGGGGATATTCAGAAATCGAGATACAGTTCAACAGGAACATACACAATATTTCCATACCAACATGATAAAGGAATTCCAGTCAGATGTGACATGGATACATCTACGGGAGGATGGACCGTGATACAAAGGCGTATATCTGACTCGGACTTTTATAGGAACTGGGAGGAATATAAAAATGGCTTTGGAGATCTAGATAAAAATTTCTGGCTTGGAAATGAAAACATCCATCAGATTGTAAGGCAAGGAAGATACGAACTACGAATAGATCTAACAAGTTCTTCTGGTGAAACGGCTTATGCGGAGTATGATGAGTTCTCTATTGGTAACGAAGATTCTGGGTATAAACTTTACGTACGTGGGTATACTGGTACAGCCGGCGACGCCCTCTCATCGAGCGCGCATGGAAATGGAATGAAGTTTTCAACATATGATAGGGATAACGATAAGTACATCAAAAATTGTGCAGAACAGTACCATGGCGCATGGTGGTATCATAAATGTCATGTTTCAAACCTGAACGGTGACTATGGAAACAAGGCATACGCCACTGGGCCTGTCTGGAAACCGTGGAAAGGATACTACGATCCGATGAAAAAGACTGAGATGAAAATTCGACGCAAGTGTGATAACTGAACAATTTTAAGACTGATTCATATTTAAAGTAACGTATAGTATAACAATATACTAAACATGAGCGCTGTTATTTCGTAGATATCATAGAATGTACATTTTACTGCAAAAATAACAATTTTTTAAACAAACAATATGAATAGAATAAAATTAATGTAAAATTCTAACATTGGACTTCTTTGTGCCATGTCTTTTAAACAGATCAGGTTAAACCTATTATTAACAAGTTATTCTAAGTCTTATTAATAACGATTTCGCCATAATAGACATTTATCTATATGTTTAAATGATGTTCATAAGTACATGTAAATGTTTTAACTACATGTATATTTAAAAAAGTTACTTTTTGTATAAAAATAAAATAAAGTATACAAAATATTTTGTTTGTCCTCTACAGTGATAAAATTTATGTATTTCAATTGTTTCATTGAAATTAGATGGTGTGCATTTATGAATGTACAAAACTAGCGGTTTAATGTTTAAACTTTACGGTTTAAGCTGTGGCATATTTTTAACACTGATATTTTTACGCGGAAAAAAATGCTATGTCCTATAAGTATTTTAAAATCGTATAGAAAGAAATATTGAAATAAAACTCAAAATATCATTTCATCCGATTATATCTTTTTCAAATACATTATTGTCATGGCAAATATCCAGGTTACATGTTACAAAGTACTACATGAGCCGACCTAGAACGTAGTATTAAATATTAACTTAATGTCAATTAATTGAGCCACATTGTCATAGTCTATAGATCAGGCGGTTATTATTTCCGCGAGTTTGTGAATTTTACTTATTTCGTTGTTCACCATCTTCCGAAGGCAATCGTCACGGAACGCTCATGTAATTTGCCAAATCTTACTATGTATTATAATGTAATTTATTTTTTCACCGGTTTCGGTTATTTCCATTAATATACAGAATTGAAGAGGGGGAAAGAACTGCAATTATTTGGCTAAAATGTCATTCATCTTTGAAAAACTTGCTCTTATATGTATGCTATGTAACACCGCAAAACGTCCGTACCGCAAAACGTACGCGTGTGGACGTTTTGCGTCGCATATCGTACACATGTGGACGTTTTGCGGTGCATATCGTACTTGGTACGTTTTGCGGCGGGAGTGTGTATTTGCGTCGCATATCGTCCATATTTTCTGTATTAAAATATATTCATTATAAACGTTACTTTTATTGGTTCTGTCACTTTCATAATTTATTGTTTCAGGTAAAGATATGACGAAATAAACATTAAAGTGCAATATTTTTGTGATCCTATATAATTCTGACTTTTTTTTTATTTAAAAAAAAAAGAAATATGCTTAAGCTGACGATGTTTTTCGAATAGATTTTTTAATGAAATGGAACCAAACAGAAGCAGCAGCAGCAGAGATATAAAAACGATGATATTGAAATAAATGAAATCTTATAGACATACAGAAAAGGACGGCTATACGGACGGACGAACCGGGGATTGGACTCAGTGAATGACAAAAAATATTAAAATTAAGCTTTGCTTTTGACAATAGCTTTTCATATAATTGCATCAAGAAGTGGGGATGATTTTTTTGTGTTCTTGTTGACTATGGAGGTTTGGTTCTACCGTTCATTTTTACGGGGGATAGATGGGGACTTTTGACAGCGTAGTCATATTTGAGCGAGAGAGCTATATTATCATGGAGAGGGCCTTTAAGTCGCCTAGTCATAATTGAGCAAGAGAGCTTTTGTCGCCGGGAGCGGGGGTGGGGATGGGAATCCTCTTAGCTCATAAATGAACTTGATCGAGACCTTATTGTTATACATATTCTGTATAAAAAATTTAAGAATGGAGAAGAAACGAAAGCACTTACAAGGTGAAATATAGCGGGTTTTTTTTGTTTTTTTTTGTTAGATTTAACCTATAATCAAACTTTGTTTAGATTTTATGGTCATAGATATTCTCTTGAAAATCGTCAATATTGAAGAAGAAATAAAAGCGTTGGAGTGGTAACAATGTGAAATATAACAGATATTGTAATTCAAGGGCAAATAACTCTGGCCATATTGCTTAGGGTATGTGGATGCTAGAGTGGTAACAAGCTAAATTTGGACGGACAGACAGGCGCATACTCAGGTAAAATTAACACACAATAACACCTGATAATAACTGGTCAAAATTGTCAAAAAATATATAAACTTTAAAATATGGACGTTATGCGGCAGGACCATGCCTTTTTGCCGCAAAATGTACGTCAGAAAAATGTGGACGATATGCGCCGCAAAACGTCCGTATACGTACGTTTTGCGGTACGGACGTTTTGCGGTGTTACAATGCTACGCATACCAAATAAATGAGACAGGTACCAGTCCGGATTACAATACCTTTTTAGTGAAGCCTGTTCGGAAGATACGATAACTTATTTTGGCAGCAACACCTTATTTTTCTCCATGATGCACATAATCGTCCCATTGGCCTCCCGTGCAACAGAAAAGCCAACATCACAAAGATATACTTACATAAAGTCATCATAGTATCATTCGGTGAATTACTGAATACAAAATGTATAGGTCACCTTTTGACAGATTTTAATCCGAACTCTAAGTGCCTGTAAGGGATGGATCCTCATTAAGCCTAGACTACATATATATAGTTTAAAATTACGATCATTTAACGCAAATTACGCTTGTGCAAGAAATATGGTACAACACATTTCTTGTTATATATTGATTTTTCAATAAATTGATCATTTACCTCATAATCTTACATGTAATTAAAGTGATAGGTTCTTTCTTTCTAACGCTTTAAAAAACTACCTGAATGATTTATACATATACATGTATATTTTCCACATCGAAAATCGCAATCTCGCAGCTAAAGTTTTTAAAGGGATACTCAGGCAAATCAATGACAAAAATAGTAAATAAAAATGATCTTATGTTCTAAAATCACGCTAAAATGACATTTTTAAAGTCCCAGCATAAATTTATGTATAAAATCTACATATTTGGGGTTTAAAGCGTAAATATTTATATATAATTATGATGAGCGAAATCAAGACAAAATCACGAGTAATTTTAAAACAAGTCATGTGACTCGAATAAACCCTGGTGGTTACAATAACTGATATTGTGGATATTGTATAATTAAACAAGCCTAAGTTATTCATATGACATATCAATGAAGTTAACGTTTCCAGGGTTCACTGTGACACTTCTTGTGAAATTTTGACTCTCTAACCTGACCCATGTGGGTCAAGTTAGAAAACCACCATTTTATTCTTTATAAGGAGAAAAGTTTTGTTCCTGTGACTGCCTAGTGTATTCATTTTGAGGACATTACCGAAAAATTACTGAAAAAATTAAAACGAAGGAATGAAAATTTTGCCTGTGTCTCCCTTCAACATCAAGTCTGGTAGAACGTATTATCTATAATGATTGTATTCATGATGATAACCTTTAAAAGTAAGTAATGCATTTTTCCAAATTGTGTATATTAAGTTAGTAATTCGATAATAGTTATGTTCATAATAAATTCTGTAAGATTTAAAAAATAACCAATGATGTTTGAAATTTGTGTATAACGGCAGGGAGATTACTCAAACATGTTCATATAAATAAGTGATGCGTCATTCCTTCCCTTTGAATTTTTTAACTCTTTACAAATCATTTATAAATTGTAGTATATTCATAAAGCTTTGAGTTTATTAACTTATTAAGTTTAAAATACAATTACCTACCTCAGAATATATTTGATAAAGAACTCGCACACCACAAATTCAATGACAAAACAAAGTGATTAAAGAAAAAAACAACAGTATTTTTGCAAAGAAAAGAAATATGTAGAACTTATTTAGAAGAGTTTGGGTTGCTAGAATGTCTGTTTACAAAGTTTTACAATTAAACATCATATTAGTTGTGATGACGAAGTTAGATTAACTATTTATAACTTCTAACAACAATGATATTGTCGAAATGAAAACATATATTAAATGTTATATATTTGTAACCATATCTTTAATACAATATTTTATAAGTTATAAAATAGGTTAAATTATTCCAAAATTTTATCATTGTTGATTCTAGGAAGATTGCAGGTATCTTCTATTTACCACATATGCGTCTGTTACTTACCACATAAGCATCTGCTATTTACCACATATGCATCTGCTATTTGCCACACATGCATATTGTACGTAAACAAGAACAAAAATGTATGCTGCTGTTAAAGCAAAGCTTAAAACGGCATGCCTCAAGATGTGCCAAAAAAGTAAGAAAAGCAACCTTGAGAAAAATGTAGTCATTACTTGCATGGACCTTTTTACGATGCGGTCCGTTGCTATGAAATATCGATCAAAAGAAGTATTTTCTCGCGCATGCACAATTTGCGTATTCCAAAAAAAAAGCATTGCACTACATAGAAATACATGTATAGTAGAATTGACGAACAATTCGTTTTTTCTGAATCTGTGACTCCTATAACTTTTCTATAAATTCTGTAAATCTAAGTACTGATTTTGCAGTAATTTTGACCATACTTTTACTGCGTGACTAACACAGTAAGGACATTTTTTGCATATTTGACGTTTTTTGGTTAATTATCGAAGATTTTTAGCGCCGTTTGCAATGTGTCAATTACTTTCTTAGTTCATTTCACAAACAATATTTTACTTTTTAAAATGTCCATGAAATATGTATGAACCTAGAGGCATGTTGCTTTAACCGTTTAGCAGTGATTTCGTGCATGCGTCGATTGCTTGTATGTCAATATACCATCACAAGCACTTAGGAGTTGTGTTTGATTTTGTGTCGTGTTTTTTTGTTGTTGTTGTTTCTTTTCTTTCAATTCAAAATTCAAACAATCCTAGTTAATTGCACTTTGCCGATCCCCAGCGTTGATTCAAGACATGTTTCCCGTTTCCTGTTTCCAAAGCTATAAATTAGTCTTGCAAATGTTCAATTAAGACCTAAATTGACATTAACTTGTGTATATTAAGAGGAAAACAAACTTTGTTGTTGTTATTTTTTTTATTTTTTTTAATTATCTAACCTTTTTGCTTCTATATCCAGTACATTAAAATCACATTCATATTTATAATATGCATTTCTGTAGACAGTTTCATTAACTTTTGACAATTTCAAAGTGAAATTATTAGATTTTTTCACAGTAGCCGGACTTTATTTGAACGTAGATGAAAAGAAAATATTATAAATGAATGGAAGTACCGTGAAAAAATTGACATCGCTTTAATAAAAATCCGATTGGTAACAAAAAAAAAAAACGTGTGTACATTGGTTATCATTATTTTAATCAAGGTTAGAACATATTTTTATTGATACTGATATTTTTACTGTATCAATTGACAATGTATTCTTGCATATCCGACAGGATTATCTACCGT